CCAGCGAGCCACGAGCTCGCCCGCCGCCGCGCTGCTGTTGGGCAGCGGGTGCAGCACGACGGGCGCGTTGTCGTTCTCGTCCCGCACCTCCACGCGCACCACCGCCTCGGCGCTGAGCGGCGGCGAGCCGCCATCGACGGCGCGCACGACCACCTGCAAGGCGCGCACCTCCTCGTAGTCCAGCGGGTGGAGGATATAAAGTTCCCCGTTCTCGGAGTTGACCGACACCTCGGGCTTCTCTTTCCCCTGCTCCCTCACTAGTGCGTAGCTCACGCGGGCGTTTTTCCCAGCGTCGGCGTCCGTCACATTCACGCTGCCGATTCGGAGCATGGGGCCATTGTTCTCCTTCACCGACACTGTGTAAACCGCCTGCGTGAACTCCGGGGGGTTATCGTTCACATCGGATATCTTCACGAGGATACTTTCCTGAGAACTCAGCCGCGGGGTGCCCCAGTCTATGGCTGTGATGGTGATGTTGTACTCAGCCGTCTTCTCCCTATCCAGCGCAGCGTCCGTTCGCAGCTCGTAGTAATTATCGAAAGTGGGTGTGAGACTGAAGGGCAAGTCCCCTTCGATCGCACACTCCGTCCTCCCATTGTCCCCGGAGTCTCGGTCCCGCACTCTGAACAGGGCCACCACGGTCTGCGGCGGGGCGTCCTCGGGAATGGAGGCCGTGAGGGAGGTGAGCGCTATCTCCGGGACGTTGTCATTCACGTCCAGGACCTCCACGTGCACTTTGCAATGCGCAGACAGCCCCCCACCGTCGGTGCCCCTCACCACCATCTCGTGGCTTTTCGTTTCCTCGAAATCCAGGTTGCCTGATATCCATATCTCGCCGGTGGCGGCGTTCAGCTGGAAGAGCTGACGGGACCGCTCCGACGTCTGGGTGAAGGCATACCGCACTTTGCCGTAGGACCCTTCATCGGGATCCTCGGCCACGACTCTGACCACCAGCTGCTCCGGCGGGCTGTTCTCGGCCAGGCGTACCTCGTAGACCTCCCGACCGAAGACAGGGTTGTTGTCATTGGCATCCAACACCACGATCCGGACCTGAGCCGTGCCTGACCTGGCTGGCGAGCCCCCATCGATGGCGGTAAGGAGCAAATTCACCTCCGTCTCGTCTTCCCGGTCCAGCTGCCGCTGTAGTACAAGCTCTGCGTATTTTCCCCCATCCTTCCCAGTCCCGAGATCCAGAGAGAAATGCGAGTTGGGCCCGAGGCTGTAGTTCTGCAGGCCGTTACTCCCCACATCAGTGTCCCTAGCACTTTCCAAAGGGAAACGTGACCCTGGAGATGCCGTTTCCAGAATCTCTAAAACCACCTCCTTTTCCGGGAACACGGGGGAGTTGTCATTTACGTCCAGAATCTGCACCTCCCCTCGGATCAGTTGCAAAGGATTTTCAAAGAATATCTTAAAGAAGAGTGTGCAGATATCGCTCTGCGGACAGATCTCTTCTCTATCTAGCGTTTCTTTTACTGTCAGGACTCCCGTGTTCTGATTCAGTTGGAAATATTGCTCGTTCCCCTCGGGCACAACGCGGGCCTTGCGAGCAGCGAGCTGGCTAAGAGAAACCCCCAGGTCCTTTGCAACATTGGCAACAAAGGAGTCCCTCTCCATTTCCTCTGCCAGAGTATAGCGGAGAGTTTCAGACCCGGTTTGACACACGCATACACAGAGAATAAGCAAGCTGACTTGCCTTTTGATGCCTCTGCCCGCCATCACTTTACAGGAAAACCATCCTTTCGGGGCATCCTCCGTGGCTCCCGGCATTTTTATACAGCATCCAAGCAGAGCGGTGTTTGCCAGGAATCCTGTGGCGAGATGCTGTCTCTGAACCCCCCTTTCCTTCGCTCTGCGTCCCGCCGTCCTTCACGAGCAGCTCAATCAGCTTTTTGTCTCCCTGTGTTTGCTTGCTGCTGACTGAAAAACTGGTGTGGCCAGAGAAACCTTCCGGTCCGTAGCCAACAGCCCCACCCAGCGTCGCAAGGGGGGATATTTCCTCTGCTGCTATTTTGAGTTTGCTGCTTAAATCTCTACCCTTCGTGCCGAACCGAAGCCTAGAGGTGCAATGTAAATACTCGCCTTGTTTGGAAGCAGAATTACTTCTTGCATACAGCGATTTGCTCTAGGCTTCCTGTCTCATAATCGTGAGCTCTTCATAAATAGCTTTTTTCCCGGCTTTGTGTTGTGTAGGATTTACAAGATCTATCACTTCCACAGCATGTGTTACTGCATTTTCCGTTTCTGCTCCTCTAGTGAACCACCATAGACCAGTTAGCAAGTGGGGCGGGCCAAAGGAGCTCTGCAATTGAATAGAAGAGCTGGTACCAGGGAATTTATAGGGAAAAGTCCTGGAAACAAATGCTTATGACAGGAGCTCCCCATCACACTAGAATCATAATGCTGATCCAAAACACATCATCCTAATTAAGTTTTCCTCATATTGTGTATCACACCTCATTCAAAGGATGGGATGCATGACTCTTACACTTTTCCGTTTAGTGTCTCCCGGGCACTGAGACCTGAAAAGTATCTCTGTGAGCGGACAAAAATACCCTCCTCTGCTGCCTCCTGATCTGTCCGATTCTTCCACCCGTTCTGAGGAGTGTAATTGTACGGCACTGAGCTCGTACGCTCTTGGAAAATGTCTCCATTCCTAGTCAAAAATGGATATGTTGTAACCTGCTTTCATATTTTGAAGAGGTACAGTCCATTTTGCTCTGATATTCACCACGCGGGCTTAGAAATACCTTAAAGGACTCAGAGATCAGACTTGGAATCAGATATCTGTGTAAGGATGCTTAACGACTGTGCAAGGAATAAACGACTGTGACAAGACAATAAACAGGAGAGGCCATAAATTAAACACCCAGATACACAAACCCTAATGAGAAGGAGCTAACGGAGACAATGATAAAGACCAGAGCTCTTAAGATACTGATCGATGGGCCGTTAAAGGAACCACTCAAATGTAACCTCGAAGAGCTTCAACTGGAAACTTTGTTAATGACACGAAGGGAAAACCAAAACCAAAACCAAAAGAAGTGGATTATCAGGACGGGTCTCATAGGAAAGAGCAAACTTATTATGGGATGTTTGAGGGGACTAGGTTAGTCTGAAAAGTTTATTATAGGATTATCAGGGGAAGATCACATTCGGGGAATAGGAGGGGTCAAGGGCTATGGGGGAGGAACAAACGAGAAAATGGGAGGGAGGGGGTAAAAGGATCGCGTCTGAGCAAGTGCTGGATGTGCTTGACTCAAGATCCGGGTCGGAAACTGGATAAAGACCCTAGGGTCTTACTGCCAGTCCTGAGGAGCGGGTTACCTCCCGAGGGCTCCCCTGCATCCAGCACCGAGTTCCGGCTGCCTCCCCCGTGCAAATGCACGCCTAATATACAGGGGATATACACAGCTGCTTCTGAAGTCAGTCTTCCTCTTACAGAATAAAACATATGGAGGAGGAAACAAAATAAGACTAGCACTATATATTTTTGGTTCAGCAATTTTAATACAATTTTTAATAATTATGGAACCACACTATTGTAAATAGAAGAAGTATCCTTCTGTTTTTGACACCTTTCCTTTAATTTTCTAGATATTGTTCTTCTTACAGTTGGCTAAAAAGGCAGACCCTGTCAAACTATATTTACCAGGGGAAGTCTGAGAAACTCAAATTCTCTGATGCCTTTGTAAATTTTTAGAGAAACTTCATGACTGTATCGGTAGGAGAAAGAATAACAGTCAAGGTTGACTTTAGGATTATGCAGAATATTAGATACTAGACAACTTTGCACAATGAGACCTTTTTGTGATTTCTTCCTTATATCCTTTTGACTTCAAAGTGTGATAGGATCTAAAGACTAAATTACAGCAAAGGCCAGGTCAATTCTTCCTCTCTTCTTTTCTTCCTTTCTTCCTGTCTTCCTTTCTTCCTGTCTTCCTTTCCTCCTTTCTTCCATCTCCTTTCTGACTAAAGATATCTAAGTGGGGATGTGTTCAGCTCTCGAGTTTCTTTCATCAAAAGCAACACGACAAAAGTTTGATGTAAAAGCAGTCCGAAGCCCGGTACATCAGTAGCTTCACTGAGAATGCGACTCCTGTCCTCATTCATGCACTACAAAGATAACTGTAGCACCTGGAATCCATTTGCTTTTCACCCTCACCAGTGCTTCTGCTCTGCTTTTGGCGTCTTAGAGAGAGGAAGGTGCCTTTGCTTGACTGTAACCTGATCTCTTGGTATCAATTTGGGGGTGGCTCGCATCTTGCCACTGCAGCCCTGGTAATGTGTCATACGCGGCAGGGAACAGACAGTCTAATAAGAGTCTCTGATTGTAGTAACCAGGTAATGCTCTCCCCTCATTTCGGACGGGAAATGCTGTCCTTCAGCAGACACAGTGTAGAAGGGTGTAATAGGAACAGTGACCCTAACAACGGCGCTCTTGGCAATAACAATAGCTTGGCACGTTAGACAGTGCTGCTCTTAGACTGAAGCTCATTCTTTCCGATTTTAGAGCGAAATGAAGTGAGTCACTTCCTGTGCATCATTGGATAACTAATGCTAATATTTTCCATTGGGTTGCAAAAGTAAAATTGACATGTCCTAGAGGAAAACCAAGAAGTACCTGTACTGATAGGCCAAGGCACATTGTCTTTTAGAATAACCTAGAAACTACAGTCAAAATACGATGTATAATCCATTTTAATGTTTCCAGAGAATTCGCTTATCTCCTTGAGGACCTCCTCGATTTTTTGATTGAGTTGATTTATTTATTCTAAGAAAGAAGTCTTAAATGACTGAAGACCCCTTCTTCTCCTTACTCAGAGATTTACATCTTGACACTAAAAAAGTGCTACAGCAACATATTCTGCTCAGTTTCTGTTATGTCTCCGTAGCTCAGAATATGGTGATACTAAAAAAAAGATTTTGCAGGACTTTCTGCTCCTATTTCTACAGCCTGAGCAATTCCGGTTTCCAAAATCCCCTTCTTGCTCTTTCGGTTAGGAAATCAGACCTACTCAGTGAAATCTCAGCAGCGGCAATCCGAATTCCTTTCACAGACTCCCCCGGAAGGACAAAAGCGCCTTCCAACCCCTGGAGCGATTAGTTCCATTGTTAAAACGCCGCTTTTGATCGTCCTCTTCCGCCACACGCTGCAGATGACTTAGGAGGTGCAATCGCCTTCATAGCTAAAGCACAGGTGCTTTCCCGCGTCATTGTGGATTTCCATGCCCAAGAAGAAAGAGGGAACAACGTTACCGCTCGTTGCTTTCACAATCAGGTCCCGGGACGGGTGTCTTCTCTCGCCTCCAACACTCAGACAGCACTTGAATTCCCAGGACCCCGGCTGAACTGCTGTCTTGAGCGCTTAGCTGGATGCAAACGTGAGGAAAGCTGGCAGAATTGTTCTTCATCTTCTGCGTTTCCATTTTCGCTGTAAATACAGCTGGTACGTGTCCCATTTATGATCCAGTTATGGAGAGACAAGTCAGCCTCCTCCTCCTCTCCCCCCCCCCCCCCCCCCATTCTGTCCAGCTAATCCAGATCACTCTGTCACGTGTAAAGGTTTGTTTCTCCCGGTATTAACTCGGTGCTTACCAACCAACGGGCTCTGCCCGAGCCACCCCAGGGATTCGGTGAAATCCTCCCAGATATCCCAGGACCAGAGTGTTGCGTCAGCAAGCTGGGAACAGAACCTGGACGAATTTCTTCCTACTCCACACCCCCAATTGTGCATTGTGGTCTTGCATTTCCAGACAGTTCTCGATGCGGCAATTCTCAGCAAATCCCTTGGAAGGACTTTGAACTAGGGCATGTTCCGGTCCAACCCGGTTATTTCAGCTGGGCTCTCAGCTAATACCAGTCATACAGCATTTGACTGGTTCTCACTGGTCCCTCCCTGCGTGTGAATTCCCTGCCCAGCAGCAGCAGTAAACACACAGCGCTGGCCAACAGCGGCACTGAGCGTCCAGAATAGGAACTACACATGCGCATCTACCCCCCAGATCTTTCAGCTCGGATTTCTTCAGTTATATTTTGGCTATTTCCAGAGCAAATTATGAAATACATTTCCCAGCTGAAGTATTTATACTATAAACGCAATTTCTTACCACTGACTGAGATTTTATCTTGCATTAAAAATAGAGGCCAATGTGAAAGATCTAGAAGTCGTCCTATATAAACCTTCTGTTAAATATGCCTAATGAGGACATTGGCAAACTTAGCAACGTTGTGCAGAACATCTTCCAGAAGTGAGAGAGCTATTCTAGACGTTATATAGCTCTGACTGATTACACCAGGCTTAGGGATTTGGATATTTTCTTTTTTTTATAAGGACATCTCTAACTCTTGTATGTTCTCTCCTAATGTAACCTGAATTTAAGAACCAGTTCAGTATTAATATCAGCACATTTCCTCTTACATCACTGTACTTCTGCTCTACTAATACCCATTCACGAGGTTCCATGCTCTAAAATCTCCCCTGCATACCTTACGACCTTGGAATATAAAGGGAAATCTCATTTTACATGCTCTAAGGTTGTATATCTTCTCAATGACATTCTGGTAGATGCTGTCTCCAGTCACTGAAGATTACACTTGCCAAAAGACACCTGGAAGACGTCTAAACAGTCCTTTTCGCTCCTACATCTTTTGGAGGTAAGAAACAATAGCTGCCTTCTCTCTAGCTATGACAATCTCAGTATTTCCCACATGAAAACAAGCCCTTCTCAGCTTCAACACCTAGTTTCAAAAGGCATTCATACTAGTAAACTAAGCAATCTTCCTAAACTTCGTACTTAGTAGGATCCATTTTTTTCCACCTTCAGCTTCATTTCCAGTTCAAACATGCTGTAGGGAGTTTTCTTAGAACAGTGCATCCTTGTATCCTGATGCCTCAAATGGCCCACAATTAATATTTTAATTTCTAATTCTCTGTCGACATATTTTGTGGGGAAAAGGCCATATATTGAGCTTTTCCTGTTTTTGTGTGTTCAGTTTCTGTATGACTCCCTTTTGAATTTCCTGCAGTAATTGTTCCAGTTGACTAGGAGGAAACACATATTGACATATCACATGAAGAACCTATGAGCAGCACAAGGCTGTTAAGTAATTGAAGTCCACTGTATCAACAGTCTTCTCTTTCCATGTGTTTTTCATGAAGCAACAGACAGAGGAAAATAAGATGATTTTTTTAAGAGACATTTGGATAGG